GGTAGCAACAACTGTGGTAAAAGTGGCTAATGTGTGTGGTGGAGTTTTGAAGCGACCGAACCGGTTTGATATAGTGGTTTAGCCAGTTGAATTGGTCTATCAAACAAAAATCATTGATAATTATTAAGTCAATATCTTTTCTTCTTTTTTTTTTGGGGTCATCCGTTCAAGTTATTAGAATCTTTTGAGTTTGGTTTGTTTAAATTATTAAATCAAAATATTTAAAATTATATTATTTGGATTATTAAGTCAAATCTTTTGAGTATGGTTTGTTAAAATTAATAAGTCAAAATTTTTGAGTTTGGTGAATTTGGATCGAATACAATAGTGGTTCAGTTGGTTGGACCCTGTACCTAAATCTAATTTTTTTGGTTTGTTCCAAAAATTAAACCGATCGGTTTAATTTTACTATCGGTTTTAAGTTTTGAATCAATCTATCCATAAAATCATAAATAAATATTTTGGAAGCTAATTGATAAACAGACAAAATTCAAATCTTAAATATGACTAAACACTCATTGGCAAGGAATTGTTATAACGAAAGTGACACACTCAAGACTCAGTACATGGATTGATGCATGGTTGTGTCTGAAAAAAACTTGTCGATCAGACAACTTAGCAGATTCCATTTGTCTACATTTACAAGTTAGTTTTTTTTTACGAATATGATTGACCAATATTGCTAGAAATGCAAAAACACCAAAATTGCTAAAGGCTCGATGGTAATAAATATAAATCATTTCTTCTGTTTTAACAAACGTTACATTGGCACATTGGTAGTAGGTTTGGTTTTGACTCAAGAGTCATGAGTTTGAGTCTTTAATTTGCGTAATATATGCTTGTTTTTTGAAANTCTTTTTGCCATGTTTTTAATTTTTTTTTGCCATGGGATCAACCTCTAAGCTATTTCAAATTGTTCTAGTAACAACTTTTAATCCTTGAATTTTTTATCTTCATTAATGATGTTTACAATGTAGCAAAAAAAAAACTATTATCAACAAATGATTTAAAGTTTAAAGTTAATGAAATAACTATTATCAACAAATCTATTCAGATTCAAATTTAAAAATTTTAAAATCCATACAAAATCATAAGTTAAGAAACAACAACACTAGATATTCTAAAAGAAAATTTTGAACACGAAATCACATCATCTACTCGAATCTATGACAAATCTTTATATATACTTTGTTGTTGCTGAAATATAAGTTGTTGGTCATCTTCTTCTCCTAAATCGCCAAATGGCCTCTAAAGATGTTAATGATTTAACAATATTTGTCTTCAGAATTTAATTTGAGTTAAATAAAAATTGGGTTTTAATTATTATCACTTTTTTGTTGAATTTTTTTGTAAGTGAAACAAAGATTTTTTGGTTTTTATTTTATTTTTCCCCCACGATAATAAATCAAGAGTTAATTTGCTTAATAAGCAAAAAAATTATAATTAGAAAACTAACAAAAGTAGCATATATTGCATATTTCTATCTATTAGATGTAAGTTAAGTAGTTAGATTTTGAATTATAGTGTTTTTGGAGTTATTTAACCCAATTTTCCATAAATCAAATTGTTTTGGAAAACAAATAAGAAGCAAAAAGGAGTTTCTAACGTGGCGAGTGAGAAATGGTTTGAGAGGAGCATACTCTTCCACATCTTTTACGCTGTTCTTCTTCTTATCATATTCCTCTTCTCTCTCCTCACCCAAACTTCACTTTTCCCAATGGCCACGATGCATCTCCCTCCGGCGACGCTTTTCGCCGGGAAAACCTCCCCGGTATTATCTCCGACGACTCCAAACGACACCCTACTACTCCACAGACCCACCACCGGTATTTCCGGTCTGGTCCTATAACAACAGTTTTAAATACTTCAACATATTAACAACAACATAAGTAATGGTTACTAAGAGAGTGTTTAGTGGTGATACAATGTAGGTATCATTAAATATAAAATTATTAAAATTTGAGTTAAAGGAAGAAAGAGAGTGTTTTTGGTTGAAATAATGGGGTGTATTGAAATATAAAATTAATAAATTTGAGTAAAGAGAAGAGATAGTGGGTATTTTTTTAGAGAAAGAGTATCAAAAGTATCAACTATTTGATACTTTTGAAGAGAAAATGAGTGTGTTTTTAATAATTTTATATTTAAAGAGAGTATAAAATTAATAAAAGTTGAGTAAAAAGATGAAAGAGAAGGTATAAAGTTGAGTAAAAGGAAGAGAGAGTGTGTTTTTTATTAATATTTGGGTATCAATATCCACTAAAGTATCATGGTTGAACATGCTCTAAGTGGTTGGTGGCCTAGTTAATGTTAAAATGTTAACAACAAGATAAATAATGGTTACTAAGTGGTTGGTGACCTAGTTACTGTAAAAATGTTAACAACAACGGTTAGAAATTAGTAAATGGAAATCGGATCTAGTTCGATCCACCTTTCGGATTTCCTACTAAACGAACAGAAAGAAAAAAAAAAGATTTCACTAGAATTAATGCTTGATCCCAACAGCTAGATTAATAGGAAAAATATGGAAATATCAGATCATATGCTACATATAATTAAGAGTAAATGGAAATTTACAATAGGCATTAAATGAAAATGGGATCCAAAAAAGGAAATAAAAATCAGAGACAAAACAATTCAACGGAAACGTATAAATAAAAACCATGAACCCACCTTAGTCGTCTTCACTCTTCATTAACATTGTCTGTCACAATTTCTCTTCCTTGTCATAGAGATTTCTGTCACTTGCCAACTTTGAAGCTGATTTTTGTTTTTTTGTGTGTGTTTGTGTGTAAACAATGGATTCGAAATTGTGTCCGAGGCAAACAACCCGTTTCAAGAGATCTTCTTCTCATCGTGATTCCAAGACAACGAGTACGAGTCTGGCTTTGAGAGAAGAGACCATGTTTAAAAAAGCTTACGAGCTTTCGACTCTCTGCGACATCCAAGTCTGCGTACTCTATTACGATCGTGATGGAGAACTCATCAAGACATGGCCGAGAGGTTTAGCCAATTAAGCGACATAGAGAAACGCAAGAAAAGCTACAACCTTTCCAAGTTTCTAGCCAAGAAGATGAGCAAAGATAAGAAGGATAATTTCAACAAATTCACATTGAAACTCTTAGAGATGGAATATTCTTTGGAACGGCGTTTACCGAAAGATCGTCTTCAGCTTCTTCTTTCGAATTGTGGTGGTATTCCTCCTAAGCCATTGATCAATTTATCAACGTCGCTAGTTGAAGATCATAGCCATAACAATGGATAGAACCATTAACGAATCCTCACAGTGAGCTACCACCGATACAACAAGATCAGCTTCCGCTTCTTCCCCCACATGAGGAGGTTTCATCCGATTGTGGTATTCCTCAACCATTGATCAGTTTCTCAACGTCGCTAGTTGATGATCGTCCTCATCAACAATGGACAGAGCCATTAGTGAATCCTCTCAGTGATTTGCCTTCGATGCCGTCATTGAATCAACATCATGATCAGAGCAAGTTCTCGATCTTTCTGTATAACCATGAGGACGATCAATTGGCTTCAAGCTTTGCCAATCGTTTAACAATCTGAGTAGTACGGACTTACTTGGGGCACAAGGAATTGGTTGCTG